AAAAAAAAAAAAAAAGAGAGACAGATGGAGCTGTGGTCTGGCAGCGATTCTGAGCAATCCTGATGGCACAGACAGCTTGGAGATTCCTGAGTGGTGCAACCCCAAGGACACTCGGAACTTGCAAGACAGAAAAGGTACGACATTCCTCTTGTTACTCTTATACCCCACACCAGCTTGGTGAACAGATGTGCTGCCATCCCCCACTCCCACCTACCTTCTGGGCCCACAGGAACTCCATCAGCCTAGGTGCCCTGCCCTGTCCTCCACCGATTTTTTTTTCTCTTTTTTTATTTTTATTTTTTTCTTTTTGGGTTTCTTTTTTTCTGGTGATTAGTGTGCTTGTATTTGTCTGTTTTAAAACAACTAATATTATTAATACTTTTGTCCTTTTTATTATTTTTCTTAATCTTCCCCTCCCAGGTCCTAGTTTTCAACATTTTTTCTTTTCCCTGTGCCTGGTTGAAATTTTTTTTTATCTTTTAAATTTCAGGTTTTTTTTTTTTTCTTTTCCTCCTTTTTTCTCATGGTTAACCCGTGCCTTGTTTTTCTTTTTGCATTTTTCCTATTTTCTTTTCATTTATTATTTTCCTTCTCTACTTTTTTGTTTCTTAGTGCTCTATCCCCAGATATTGCAGGTTTTCTTGTTTTTCCTTCTTTTTTCACTTTTTCTATTTTTGGTTACTGTTCCTGTGTGATTTCATGGTGTGTTTTTCATCCATGGGCTTTTAGTTTGTTTATGGTATTCAATTGTAATTTGTGTCTAACTGACTGGGAGACAACAACAGTCCCCATAAGACACAACTACACCCACACTTCCTGCAACTTCACTTATTGAGCGACAGCCACTACCTCCTTCTCCACCAATGGGCCAATGATAAAAAACCACCAAGAAGAGCCTGATTCACCCTTAGCTACTCTTCACAAACAGTTAACAGAGATCTAAATACAACAACGCCACAATGCCTCGGAAACAACACACCATCACACTCCACACAAAGAAGCAGGATAAAGTGGCAGAAATAAGGGAGCAGGATACAGACGCAGAACACATCCCTGAGGAAGAAGCAGCATTGGAACTCTCTGATAAGGAATTCAAAAGAATTATATTTAAGTATCTTCAAAGGATTGAGAGATAGACCAAATAAAACACAGAAAAAACCTTACAAGAATTTTGGAAGAAAATACAAGAACAAAATGACAAAATAAATGAAAAATT